TAAAATTATTTGGATGTATATTTTACCAAATTATCCTTGTGATATACTTTTTTAAAGTTAAACTTTAATATTAATTTATAAATATTTGAATGAAAATCCATAAAAATATTTTAATCTTTATACTATCTATTTTTTTAGGAGAAATTACATTTAATATATAATTAATATAATTAGTATATTAAATTTATATTTTTAAATAATTTTCATAAGTATCATATTTATTTTATAAATATAATATAATAGAAAAAAATAATATTATGGTAGTAAAATATTATTTTAAATAATTATATTTTTACAATAATAATTTTTCATCCCATAAAATTATAAATAGTAAAATATTGAATATTAAAAATATAAAATATTTTAAACTCTCAAAATTATTAATATTTTAGTAAATCAAACTCTTTGTATATAATTTTTTTTATAATTTTGAGTAAAGTATAAAAAATAAGAATTTAGAAGGATCATTATAAAAAGAATTTATTAGTCCAAGGGTATTCTTGTCCAAAGTGGTGGGAATGTAAGATTACCTAAGAATTTGAAGGTAATGACATTCCCACCATTTTAACAAAAAATGTTACTATTGGAAAAGAGTATTTGTAACATCCCAAATTACGGGTTAATGATTAAATTGTAAAATTTTGGAATTTGGGGATAAAAGTAGAATAGTTGAATAGGTAAATGATTTATTTGGGGATATTTCTTGAAAGTTGTTAGTAATTATCCAAATAATTAAAGGGCAAACTGGTTATTTGCAAAGGAGAAATAATTAAAAATTTGGATGGGTTTATATTAACCCACGTGGAAGAGGAAATGAAGGCAAAAATTTGTTCCATAGTTCTCTTTCTCTTCTTCTCCTTGTTTTCCTCTTCTTCACGGTGGCTTTGGCTACAAAGGTAAGTTTCCTCATTAGTTGATTATTTGTTCAATTAAATATTGGGTTTTGATCCTTAGATGATAATTAAGCTTAAGGAAAGCTTAATTTATCTTATAATCAAAAGATGAAGAAGTTATGAAATATTAAAGAAAATGGGGTTTTAAGAGAATTTCTGTAAAAGAGTTGATAAGTTGAATTTGAAGTTAAATTCGACTTGTCATCAGCTTAATTAAGAGATATGAAGTGATAGAATTGAAATTAGAACATATTGAAAATTTGGGTATGATTATTGATTCTATATGAAAGATAAGATTTTGAGGTTTAAGATGAAATAAATGGATATAAATTAGTTTAAGTATGTATATTTGAGTTAAGAATAGAAAAATGAATGAAACATGGGGAATTTAAGTTGATATAGTGAATTATCGTGCATGAACAGTGATTTTCTGGGCTTGAACGAAAATTTCAGATTACGCAGGGGGTACAGATTCCCCCTGGGGGTATCGATTCCCCCTAAAGAAAAAAATATGAATTTTGGGCTTAAGTTATTAACATAAAGTTTAAGGTTTAGGCTTATGATAATTGTTTTGAAATGTTATATTTATGTGGATATTGAGCCTAAACAAGTTTCAAAACAATCAAAGGATTAGGATTGAATCAAAGCAAGGCTAAGGTGAGTGCAATTTAATTTGTGCTTATAGAATGAACATTGGCTTGCGATGAGCCAGTGACAGAGTTATTATGGCAAGAAGTAACTCTTAAAATGTTATTGTATGTGACATGAGTTACATGATTATATGTATATGTGATATGTTTAACATGTTGTTATATGTGTTGTGTGATATATATATATATGTGCTTGCATAAGAACATGAGAAATAAAATAAGTTATGTGATAAGGATATAGAAAATGAAATGAATGATATGAAATGTGTGTATGCTTGATTATATGAGTAGATATTTTCTTGTAAGTACTAAATGACTTATGTAAATAAATGAAAAGGTGAGATAAAATAAGTAGTATTTACTTATAAGGTAATAGGAAATTATTTGAACTCATGCAAAGTGATACAAGCTATGTGACATATGAATATGAAATCATATGATAAGTGATATAAATTATACGAAAATAAACTACATGATGATATGCACATGTGATATGAGATATATGTTTACACATACATATGGTATGTGACAGAAGAGAAAGAAATATGTGATCATATGAAATGTGATAAAGAGTTATGTGAAAGAACAAGTGATATGAAATGTATAAATGATAATGCCCATGTTATGTGATATTAGAACTAGTGGTATAGTTGGCATGCTAAGAGTCGAGGGTTACCTATGTTCTAAGGAACATATGGACAGTTTACCTAGGTTCTTTGAGACCTATAGACAGTTGCCGAGGTTCTTTATGACCTCTGAATAGGTCTTTCTGGACAAATTTCATATGCCACTCAGTGGGACTTATACGAGCTGTGGTGACAGCAATAGTGCACAACCTCGATGTACTCGAATACCTTAAGTTCTTAATAATGTACATGGGCCTATAAAAGATATCAAAAGTATTTGTATTTTTATATGATATCGTGCTATTATTGTTTACACTGATTTCTTTGTGTACATGAGCTAATAAAGAGATAATGATCACTACAATATATGTTATGTATATGCTTTTGGTGATATGAAATGTTTCACAGAAATTATATGATGTTATATGGTACACAGAAAAGATAAGTACAAGATCATGATAATGAGGTTGTTGTGGATAATGATGGTATAGATGCATGTATGCATTTTGTTATATGAAATGTTTATGGTTTTATTATATGTTTTATATGCCATACTAAGTCAACGACTTAGCGTGTGATTGTTTCTCGCGTAGGTTCTGAGAAGAGGAATAATGATAGAAGTTAAGCAAGACAGGTCAGTTCTCCTTACCGAAGATCAGATCAGAAATGTAGATCAAATTACATGTATTTTGTTAGAAAGAATTTAGTTGGCATGTAATAAAAAGGATTTGTATTAGATACGCTCTGATCGAGTTTTGGAAATGTTTTAAATGTATATATGTAAATGGTAAATGTATAATGATGAAACCTTGGATTTTTATGAATTTATACGTATTTTACGGAAGTACTGTAGTAGTACTGTAGCAGGGTATCGGCTCCCTGTAGTAGGGGAATCGGTTCCCCTCTTACATTCTGGAAAATTTTAACATTTGGATACTGTTCACGATACTCTTCATTATTGTTCATACGGTCATGTTCATTGTTCATTCCGTATTTTATTGTTCATAAAACGTATATTTTCTTAAATTGGTTATAGCAAACATGATTCAACAATATATTATCGTATTTTCTTAAAAATAGTTCAAATATTCTGTTATTTTACAAGAATAAATGTTTTAAAAGTCAATGTGACATCTCGGACTCGTATTCGGGTCGGATATGGGTTGGGGTGTTACAATATTCCCGATAATGTAAGATTCCGCGGTAATGTAAGATTCTGCGAACCAAACGCACCCTTAGTGTATTCAAATGGTTAATACGATTGTCGGTTAAATCGAATTAATCAATTTTTTTCTAATTGTTAATAGAATTAATATTTTTAAATATTAATTTTGTTTGAATTATGTTTGTTTCAATAGTAGATTGTGATCCTATAAATTTTTGTAACATTAATAGTAATATTAAAATAATTATAATATTACAAACAATGAGTGATATCTAGTAATATATCATTGTTATATTTGATATGATTTTTATTCTATTAACATTTCGTGTATTATATCTTTTTGTAACGTATACTGTACTAAACACTAGTAATATGATAATTATATTTGGATAGTTCATCTCGTGTTTCTTGATATTTCAAGTAAATTATAATAGAAATAAAATGATATCTTATTTTATTTAAATACGATTTTACATTTATAGTCTCACTCAATTAAGTGCACAAATATGTTTCTCACATTATGTTAAAAGGTACAATCATATATTGATAAACTCTATCACACTATATAGATTTTAGTATCTCTAATATCAGTCATTATAATATAATTAATTATTGTTTAGATCGTCTATATTCATAAGAATCATAGAATGTATCGTTCTATTATAATAAGGACATTTTCTTGTGATGAAGTCGAAAATTCTCCTTTTATAAATAATTTAAGTGAGATTTAAGTTAACTTTATTTATATGAAAAATAAATTTAGAAAAATTAATATTCGATGATAAATAAATATGAAACAAATTAGCAGGTTGAGATACAAATCTAAATATTAAAATTTGTTGTATTATTGGAAGAATTGTTTTCATGAATTATAATCTATAAACTATATTTTATTATCATTTCTTCGCCTATTAAATTAGTAGATTTTTTTTATTAATTAACGATATTTTTAAAAGAATTTCCCCACTGAATAAAGTTTTCGAAATGTTACATCTTCTATTTAGTTACTTTTTCTTTATATTATCTTTAGTAGACTTAAATAATTCTTTAAAATCAAATTTAGTATTTAATAGTCGTATTTATTTATCTTTCCAGCCTACTGATAATCAATATAATACTAAATTTGACATTAATATTAAAAATTATATATAAACCATCAAATATAATTGAAAATAAGAATCAAAACTCCCTTAGTTTCCCTTAACCTTATATTTTTCATCTTCTTCAACTCATTATTTATCATATAACTACTGATTAAAACTCTTCATTCACAAAATAAATAAACAATTATAAGTCTTAAGAAATTTTGTATTCAATATTAGCATGTTGAAATAACTAACAAATAAAGTCTTAAGAAATTAGAGTACCTCATCACACGAGTCGCGAAAGGGATGGATGATAAATGGGGAGGAAAAAGATGAAAAGAGAAAGAAAAGGGGTGAGTGAAGAGATGGTTGTGCCACGTGGGACGTTACCTGGCGTACAGGGTTGGCACCGCATGGGATCATTCCAAAAATATTCCCCCCTTTGTCTATGGTCTATGCCGTTCCTCTTCTCCTACCTCCAATTTCTTCCATTTTTCTTTACTTTATTTTTTGGTCTCTCTTTAGATTAGCCCATATTCTCGCCATTCTTCCTTTTTTTAAAATCAAAAACAGTCTCACCCCATCAACCAAAAATAAGTATTTTTTTTTCAATCACCCAATTTCGGGTACTCGTTCTTTTGTTTTGGATTTAGTCTCTTTCTGACTAAAGCTGATTTGGGTTTCTTTTATTGAATCTAGAAACCTCTTAGTTTGGAAGCTTTGCTGGGGGTTCGTTTGAGCTGCTGTTGATGAATTTGGTTGAGGTTTTGTTTGCCCAGTTCGATTCAATTTAGTTTTTGTTGTTATTCTTCTTCTTTGGATTTCTGGGTGTTCAAAATTTGAATGATTGATACTCTTTTTGAGTTACCAGATAGAGGAATCAATCTGTTCCTGGTGTTGAATTAGTGATTTGGGTAGAGTTTCGATTGTGTTTTTACATGGTGTGAGCTGAAAAGTGAGAACCTTCCCATGTGTAAGAAGGGAATAGTGAATCATCAACAGCAGCATAATAGTCAAGCTGTGTATTTGATGGATTCACCTTCATCTGCCCCGGCTTCCTCCGCCCCTAGCTCGAATGATGAAACCCCGCGTCTAAAATTCTTGTGTAGCTTCCTCGGTAGCATATTGCCTCGACCACAAGATGGGAAATTGAGGTATGTTGGTGGAGAAACGCGAATTGCGAGTCTGCCGAGAGATATTGGTTATGAGGAGCTAATGAGTAAGATGAGGGAGCTTTATGATGGAGCAGTGGTTTTGAAATATCAGCAGCCAGATGAGGATCTTGATGCTTTAGTTTCAGCTGTGAATGATGATGATGTTACTAACATGATGGAGGAGTATGAGAAGTTGGGTGCTGGCGATGGATTCACCAGGCTTAGGATTTTTTTGTTTTCTCATCCTGACAGAGATTGTTCATCAGACTATGTTGATGGGGACGAGAGGGAGACTGAGAGGAGGTATGTGGACGCTTTGAACAGTTTAAATGAGGGCTCTGATTATAAGAAGTGTGACTCTCCTGTGATGGCCCCAGTTTCCGATGATATTTATTTAGCAGAACAATTCTTTAACAGTGTGAGTGTTGATGGTGGTGGTGGCCTTCATAGCCAGAGAAGTGGTGAGATGTTGATGCCTCCATATAATTTGCATCATCTTAATATTCCTCAAATGGGATCCTGCCAACTACCGCCACCCGTTCCGCAGAGGTACAATGAAATGGAAGGTACATGGAGTCCTGCTTACTATTGTCCTAGGCACAATGGGCACCATGATTCCAGAACGCTATCAGAGTTTCCGCCCTCACCGTCTTCAGCTTGTTACCGAGTACAATTTCCCGAATTAATAGACAAATGCCTGGATAGATTGCCTGAGGAATATGCAAGGCAGCAATTAAGTCATCATTCCCAGTATGAACAGCAACCACAGTTTTCAGATAATGTAATGTGGATGCCAGCTGGAGCAGTACCTGGTAATAAAGTTGGTGGTTTTTCTGGTAACATACTTCATGGTCATAGTGTTTATGAGGGGAACCGCATCTGTGAGCACTGCAGGGCCACTTTCAGCAGAAATCAAACGCCACATTTGGAACATCCCAACATGGGAAATGGAGTTCCTCAGGTTAATAATCAGTGCATGGAATGCCCTCCAAACCATGAAGCTTTCATTCTGAATGCAGATGGAAAATTGCAGCATGGATTTTATCCCAAAGATCATACTGATTCCAGTTCTGCTTATGGTGAAACACACAGTCATGAAAGAGGACGAGTTTTGCAGAACCAACTGAATCCTCGAGTTGAGGAAGTGAGAAATCATGTACCTGGAGCTGGAAGATTTAATGACCACTATGTTCTAGATGCTGCTGGCATGAATTTACCTCTGGGGCAAGCTAGTTTAGCTGGCGGCCATCATCTGCCCTCAAATTATGTTCATCACCAATCTGGATCTGAATTGGGGAATGAAGTGTTTCACGATCAACCAGTGGTTGCTTCACCCCATCTGCAAATTCCTCCTGAAGAACGCGGAGTTCGATATGGGAATTATCCTTACCCTCATGGAGGAGATCATGCTTATCAATCACCACATGTACATGTACATGCACATGCACAATCCTTGTGGAGAAATGTTCAGAACCCAACCCATGGTGCTCCTGCTTATGAAGCATCTGGCTTACCCGAACAAGTAAATGGTGCATTTAACTCAGCACAATTGAAAGGTCTGGTGGAAGGTAGTTCAAAGCTTTGTGTTACAACAGATGGTCAAAATCCTTGGGTTGAGTCTTCACAAAAGATGCTGGGTTTTAATGAGACTGCTGTTCCTGACAATGCTTATGGCCATCCTCATAAGGTGAACATTGACTCTCATGATCTGGAAACTCAACAATCTGTCACAATGCAACCAGTTCGATTCCCACAAGACATGCCAAATGTTTCCATTACCACAGAACCTGTTCAATCTCCTGATCTACCTTCAACTTTAATTCCTGATAAATCTGTTTCCAGTAACATGCCTAGATCACGAGATAATCCTAATGCCATTGGGGCATGGAGGACTGAGGAGAAAATTGTAGCCATGGAAGATAAAGAAGCAAGTCATGCAGTGAAGATGGAAAAATTTGATGTTCCAAGTATGCGCTGCCCGGAGCAAAACAAAATTACTGAAAATGAATCTGAAACAGCAGTTGTTGAGACTAGCGTTTCAAGTTGCAAAAAATTTGTCGAAAAGGGTTATGAGCAGGCAAAACCTGGTGAAAAAGATCCTAGATCTGCTAAAAATTCAAAGCTATCTGTAAACCATTTGAGTTTCATACCACAGTTTGTTGAATCAGTTAAAAAAGCAGCTTTAGAAGAGGTTGAAGAAGGGGAAGCCAAACCTGAAGATGGTGCCTCCATGAAGCATGATTCTGTTCAAGGAGAAGCAGCTGCAAATGAGTCAGATTCAGTGGTGAGATTTAAGAAAAGTTTTCATATATAACATCTCACAATTTTATATTTTTATCTTTCTGATATCTGTTTTCTCTCCAGAATGCCCGTAGTGAGTTGGAACTGGATCCTGATAATGACAACAACTCCCTGTCCAAAATTGAGCCAACAAAGGCCGAGGCTGAAGCTATTGCACGAGGCTTACAGGTCATTGTTTTCTTTTCCATTTTCATCATATTATTTTTTAGTTTATTTAGACACTTTTTGGTACCATTTTGTTTCTGATGGTATTTGCATTTTACCTTCAGACGATAAAGAATGATGATCTAGAGGAGATCCGACAATTAGGCTCTGGAACATATGGGGCAGTTTATCACGGAAAATGGAAAGGTTCAGATGTAGCAATCAAGAGAATTAAAGCCAGCTGCTTTGCAGGGAAGCCTTCTGAAAGAGAACGATTGGTAATTACTTTTAGCACTTTTCCTTTCATAGCTTTGGTAGCTTGTAATACAAGGCTGCTTGATGGTTTAAGGATGCATATGCTTCACCTGATGTGTCTTATAGGTCATCGATGCTTTTGTTTTTCTTTATTTTCAACTATTGACAATGATTAAAGATGGTGCTTGTATAGCTTGAAGAATGAACTACTATTTTGTTTCACATTGAACAAAACAGTAAGGGCTTTACAGCATTATATACACGTAAATAGCTTATATTTTCTTTTTTTATGTCTGCACTCAAGACATATAATCTCTCAGACCTGGTATTTTGTGTTTAGTCCCTGTCAAGATATTTTGTTGGACATGGTTTAATTGTTGGGTTAGTTAGGTCCGAGCTCTGAAGGATACATAATATTTTTATGCTGCTTATAAATAGATTGATAGCAATCACTATTTTTATGCTGCTTATAAATAGATTGATAGCAATCTCTATTTTTATGCTGCCATAGATTGAAGATTTCTGGAGAGAAGCTCTGATATTGAGTTCATTACATCATCCAAACGTTGTTTCTTTCTATGGAATTGTTCGTGATGGTCCTGATGGATCATTAGCTACTGTCACTGAATTCATGGTTAATGGATCCTTGAAGCAGTTTTTACAGAAGAAGGACAGGTAACCATGCTAATAGCTATGTAATCAGGTTGCCTTTTGAGCGTCTTCTCTGAATTTTGTTCTAGAATTGTTGTTGTTTGCCTTTGCATGCACCCTTTTTGTTTCATAGAATGACTAAACAAGCTAGAATGTAATATTTTCCTAAATAATGTGCGTCATAATAATATTGTTGAGCAGGACTATTGATCGTCGTAAGAGACTCATCATAGCCATGGATGCTGCATTTGGAATGGAATATTTGCATGGAAAGAACATTGTACACTTCGATTTGAAATGTGAAAATCTGTTGGGAAATATGAGAGATCCACAACGTCCAGTGTGCAAGGTACACTGTCATAAATATTTTCTGGACCTTGAATTTTAATATTGGTTTCAATTTGTGGTGGTGTTTTTTCCTTTTCTTTTTGGAGAGGTGGGGGCAACAAAAATTTTGTTCTTCCAAAGTTACTTCTGGTTGCTAAGCTTGCTGTAATTTCTTTAATTGTGGAAGCTTGGTAAGAGTTTCAGGTTGATATTGTTTCAGCATTAGCTCTTATTATCTTGGTCCTCAATTGATTCTTTTATAAATTTTCTTGAGAGCACATTAGTATTTGTTTTCTTCCAACGGTCAACAGAGTTGCAACTGATGCATTGCATGCATACACATTTAGATTGGTGATTTGGGCTTGTCAAAGGTTAGACAACATACTTTAGTTTCTGGAGGTGTTCGTGGAACTCTACCCTGGATGGCACCTGAGCTTTTGAGTGGTAAAAGCAACATGGTATCTGAAAAGGTATTATTTTACATTGACAATAGCAAATATGATGATGGATTTCCAACATGAGTTCTGCTTCTTGGGACATGATTTTTCATTTCACCAGAGACTAATTTTATTTGTTCCCGATAAATTTATGTGATTCAGATTGATGTCTACTCTTTTGGCATTGTTATGTGGGAGTTGCTCACTGGTGAAGAGCCTTATGCAGATATACATTGTGCTTCTATAATTGGTAAGTGTCATGAATAGGATTTATATGTTGTGAGTGAGTCGCTACGAGTCTTCCATACATTTTGCTTAAAATCTTTGTTACTTCAACTCTTCACTTTACCCTGACAAAATTTCTGATACATACATTGGACATGTCCATCAATAAATGCAATTGCTATGAGGGAGTAGTTATGGAAACATTCCTTTGTTGATATGGATCTAAGCCTGACAGTCATAATCGTGCCAAGACTGTAGCTGTGATTAATTTTTATCAACCTGACAGTCAATTGCTGACTAGATTGTCTTTTGAACGCCTGACACGTAATTTTGGCTAGCTTTTCTTTTGACCTCTGTGTCTCTCTCTTTTATCTGCAGTTTAATTTTGTTTAACAACCTTCATTTAGTAGTTGGATAAACTGAAGGGAAGTTAGTGAAAAGGATATTTGGAGATTCTTAATTTATTGTTCGAGGGAAAAGGAAATTTTTGGCAACTTCTTTAGCACATTTGGAATTTCTAGCTAACATCAGTCTTGTGAGGATAGGGCACTCACATCATGCATGTTTTGGGTTTCTGGACCAAATTGGATGTTGTAATTGTTTCTTGACTTGTACGTTGTAAGATTCATAATAGAAATGCATGTATTTATGAATATGGACTAGAATTGAATCTTCAACAAGTAGAAATGACCTGAACTGGAGGGTGTTATTGTCAGAGATATAGCGGATAGGCTTAAAGAATTGGAGGGTGTTATTAGATGGGTTGCTAGGACAGCTAATATAGAGGTTGATGGGCTGGCTAAGTCTGGTATAGGCTAATTTCAGTATGTTTTTTAGGGGTATCTTATTTTTGGTTTTTTGGTTGTTTGTAAGGGTTTTATCTTCTTTTTTTTTATAAAAATTGGAAGTCTCATTAAAAACTCCCTTCGTATTCTTCCACATACTAAGAAGTATATTGAAGAACATTAGAAGGAAGAAAAGAGTGCCTCGTAATTTATTAAATAGAACACCAAGTACATGTGAAAACACCGAATACTCTCATAAGGGAATATACATCATTACAAAAAACCATAACACCCAAAAATCTCCCATCGTTAACAAAAAGGCCCGAAAGACAATAACCCGATTTCTAAAATACACCTCAACCAAAAGGAAGAAAAACAACGTAAAAGATCATAACAAAACAAAAAACCAACACTTGCTATCATTAAAACTAAAAGAAACGCCTTTGAATCGAGCTCCTGAACAGTTACGGTGAAAAGGAACTCCTTCGCAATCTAACCACACGCACCGACACTCCACCACCAGACTCTCTGACCAAGCTTCAACTTTGGAAAACCATCTTGCAAGAGTCTCTAATTTATCATTCTTCACACTGCTCAACGAATCAGAGTCTTCAAAAACCATTAGAACTACATTTCCAGCAGCTCTCATTAGCGTGAAACCAGCGAGTCCTTTGGCTTGCATTTGGTTAGCAAGATTACCGATTTTGATGAAGTTCTTGCACCAGCCCACAAAACAGTTACTCAACACTTGAAGTTTATCTTCGTCCACAACATCCTCAACTTCACCGTGTTTATTCCTCGAACCAGCTTCCATCCAGACTTACGTTGAACAACCGTCAAGAACTTTCGACAATAAGACTGTCGAGGATTATATTTAGCCAATGAGACTCTAATTTTGCTGCCGTAAATATGAGCACCATTCATCTTTGATATCGCTTTCCTTGCTTCTTCAATTGTTGCATAGCGAATGAACCCAAAACGAACTCCTCTCAAATTTTTTTTGTTAGGAATGAAGGCATCAATTACATGACCGTGAGTACAAAATAAAGATCCCAATCTCTTCCAATGGATCTTCTCTGATAGGTTTTCAATGAATAACGTGAAGCATCCACATCTGTACCCATTACTAACATTTGTATGGCCTTCATTCCACTAATCTTTTGATTCGATTATCCCATAATTCCTTCGTTGTGAAGGAGGCAAACCTTCAGGCCTAAATTTATAATCCGCCTTTTTGCTGGCCAAAAAAGTCTCATTTTTCGCCGACGACACGTCCAAACGGGATTTCATATATACTTGTCCGCACTCGACCTCGACTTCACCTCAACACCTCCCATTCTACTACCTTGATAATTTCCGGATGTAGAAGCACTTGCCGATTGCTTCTGATTACCACCAAAACCACCATTGACAGTTTCCTTCACAACAACTGGGTTATTCCATAAACGGGATCACGGTAAATACTCGCAGCAGTAGTGTTATACTTGGTACCGATATCAGTTTCTTTAGGAGTACCATATCGTGCCAAAAACTCGTTGAACTTGTCGTTGCTACCCGATTCCATTTTCTTGATCTGGATATCTGACCAGGAATCCATGTTGACAGATTGAACAAAAGAGATATTAACACCTAATCCTTGGTGTTTGCAAGAACACTCTGAGCACATGAAAACACCGTATGTTACAGAAGCCCACTGTATCTTTATTATTAATGAAGTATAACGCACTCTTTTCCTCTTTCCTTTGATCAAGGAAATCATTTTGAGTTCCTTAATCATAAAGGGGTTTTTTAATGAGGCCTTCAATTCTTATGAAAAAAAAAGAAAAGAAATGACCTGAACTATTTTTATTCAGGGTGGTTGTGTTCTTTCATACTATCACAATTTTTAGTATTTTTTAACGTTACTCATGACCTTCATTTCTTCTATGCATGGAGAACATCCATAATTGCAAACTTTGCAGGCACACGGGCATAGAATTTTAGGGGAGTGTTTAGGGACGCCGAGGGATGGGAGGCTGTAGGGGAAGAGTATAGATTCCTTGTTAGGAAATCCCTTTTCAATCCTAACTTTTCTTGTTTTCCTTTTGCCTTTAGACCTGAGCTTTGCTTAGCATGAGGATGGAAAGTAAACATTTTTTGTTCAAGGAAACTGGTTATGAATCTTCACTATTTGATTAGCGAATTCTCCATACTCAGTCCTTTCCGTCCTTCATACTAAGCAAATCCTCAAGCTTGAAAGTTGAACCTTGTTCTGTTCTTCAATATTATTTGCTTTGGCATATTCTTGTATAATTGAAACCATCCATTTTTGAACCTTGAAGCTAATACTTTATTGTCATGTTGAACTTATGCTTGTTTTGTCATTTTGCTGCTGTTTTTTAATTACCTACTGGTGCAACTCCAGAGGAGAAGCAGGGAGGGAAAGAAAATAAAGGGGAAGGGAGAGAAAAAAGAGGGAGAAACTAGAGGGGAAGAGATACATTCAATATCCAAATATGGGGAAGTTCTTGAAACATTATGATAATCAGCATTTATACTGCAACCGTCTTTTTTCCAATAAGTAACTCTAAACAATGATAAAACCCTAATAATGCCTTTTCGATGATCCTCCATTGTTGATTTCTGAAAGCAGTGTCCTCACTCAAACTATCTTGTCCTTGTCGTTTTCTGAGTTTCATTGGTTCTGGCATTATCAAGAGTGTGATTCACATGTTAAAAATTTTAGCATCGTCGCTGACAGTTCATGGAGGAACTTTTCCCACTGCTAATAAGCAATTACTTTCTGAAAGAGACTTTTCTTATTTTTGTTTTCTTTTGCTTGTTAACATAAGTACCAAAGTTTGTTATATGAAATGGAGGGGGGAAAACTGTGGTCAGATAGGACTATTTAAGCATCACTATTCTTGCTTCTAGTATGCGTGTTTTTGGACTTCATTCTTCTGTTATAGTTTTAGATGTCTACAATCTTCCAGTATGCATATGACTATACTTTTCTTTCAATATACAGGGGGAATCGTAAACAACACATTACGTCCGAAAATACCATCATGGTGTGATCCTGAATGGAAGGCGTTGATGGAGAAGTGTTGGGCCTCTGATGCTGCAGAGAGACCTCCATTTTCTGAAATATCTCAGAAGTTGAGGAGCATGGCTGCTGCTATAAATGTAAAATAAAGCCAATCCCAAGCAACATTACGAATGTCACGATCATCGTACACGGAAAAACAAAAGTAAGACATCCAGATAAGTGCAGTTTTTGGTCATCTACCTGTTAGTCGAATAAAGCTATACCTTCAGTTCTGCTGTAATGGATCTCTCGTAGTACTGACACGAGTTATTCCGAGGGCCGAATGTAGACCACCCTGGCTGAACTATATTCTCAGGGAGAGGGAGAGCTATTAAACTAGAACTGGGATTTGATGTCAGTGAGTTTCAACAGGTTTTAACCTTAAATCTCTCGCACAAAAATGATGAACAGGTAAATGCAATCACGGTTCTGGTACTACGGGTGAATGAATCTGTGTTTTGTCTTTGAAGATATGTCTGTAAAGCTATACATGTAATTAGTAATGCAAGGGACTTACATGCTTATGATAATATGATAAATTACGATCCAATTTTGTTACTATTATTCTATTGTTAAATCTTGTTTTCTTATGCACACTCTAAGAAGTTAATGGGTAATTTCATTTTCCCCATTCCTCCTCTAGTAACTATTCAGTTTAGTCCTCAATCTCAATATTTAGATAATATTTCGGCCTGTCGGTTTTCAGTTCTTTCAATTGAGTCATTAAATTGTTAATCAGTAACATGTGCCTTTGTTTCGTGTAGCAGTGCTTATCAAATGAGTCAAGTGCGGGATTGGGCAGTGTTTGATTCATATTTGTTAAATAGTTTTGTTGCCCGATTTGATTTATTGTTCGTTGAGTTTGTTAAAATATTGTTCGATTTATGTTTGTTAAAAAATTGTTGTTCGACTTGTTGTTTATTAAGTTCATCATAAATTTTAAATAGAATAATTAGGGTTTAATTTTTGGATGTAGCAAACTAATAATTAACAGATTTAGAAGGATACAAATTTTGAATAAAAAATATAAATAAATATTTAAAATATTTAAATATTTTTTTAGAGACGATTGTCTTTTTTCGTTCTTCCCATTTCCACTTTTAGACGTGCTAGAATCATGTTAAAAAGACAAAATGTTAAGATTATAATGTGAAATGAATTATGTCATGATAAGTGAAACTCATAAGATATATTTTATGGAAAATAGCAAAAGTTTATTAGTTGTGAAAGGAAATTTAATATGTGAGATTATATGCTGAATTATGGAAAACGAAAGGGAACAAACTGTAACACACATTAATCGATACGAGTGACTCGATCCAATTTCATGTGTCACATTAGGATTACCAGAGCGACCCATATTAAAAAAAAATTCGAAAAATTTAAATTTTTGATCACATTTAAAATACTAAAAGAAATTATAAATAAATAAATAAAATACAATTTCAGAAAATCATTCATATATTAAAAACAGAATTCACTCATATCCAATATTTAAAACAATTTTCATACTTGAATATAAAATAGAATACAACTTACATGCCCCCTAATTACATGCTCCGTACTTCGCAACCAACGCCGGTGAAACTCCTTTATCGATGTCGATAAAAGCACATGATCAAACTCTTTAACATGAAATATTAAGTAACAGAGTGAGCTTTGGGAAACTCAGTAATACAGTACTACCAAATGAATGCAATAGGTTATCAGGTATAATATGGTAAAGTATAAATTTCCTTAGTGACATAGGCATCATCAGGTTCTAGCGGTGAGTTCAGATTCGTTAATTAGTTACTCAGGTAACAGTCGAGAAAACTTACAATTCGAATGAAATGTTGAGGGAGACAGATTCAGAAGATTGAGTTAAGAAGTCTAGCATGTTCCAATAAAACTAGGGAAAAGTGCATGGATCTTTAAATACAATAGTAGTTTAAAAACATATTTTAAAACTATAGTAATACCCTCTAACTAAACATCGATAAGTAGTTTCCCTGAACTGCATCCATAAGTACTTACCCTAGGCCCATTGGGCGTAGGAACCAACCTAAGGGAACACCTTGGGTCCAGATAGATTTTCCCTATGCAAAAAAACAAATGAGCATACGATAAAGTCTTACCCTACGCACAAAACAATGGAGCCTCCGGTAAGGTCTTCCACTATGCACAAAGCATATGAGCATACAGTAATATTTTCCCCTATGTACAAAGCATAAGAGCATACAGTAAAGTTTTAATCCATGCACAAAGCAATGGAGCCTACAGTAAAGACTTACCCTAGTCAGAGTGTAAGAGGATACTTAAGGGTCACTTAGGTCCATAAGGATTTACCAGCTTGATCAAAGTTAAACCTTTATACTTCAAAATCCTACCCAGATTATATTTTCCTATGAAAACAAGTAATCAAAAACCATATATCATGTAGCTATAATTCATAAACAGTAAATCAATAAATCAGTAACTTCATTAAATCACATTTCAAAATATATAAAACAATCATATAGCACATAGGGAACACATTAGAGGATCCAATTATTTTTTGAAAGTACTAGGTGTTTACTAGGTAGGGAACCACAAAATATAACATCTGTAATACCGGGTTAGTGATTAAATTGTAAAGTTTCAGAATTTGGTGACTAAAGTAGAAGAATGAAATTGTAACACCCCAACCCGTACCCGACTCGAATACGAGTCTGAGGTGTCACATTGACTTTTAAAACTTTGACTCTTTTGAAAAAGAGAGAAATTTAAAACTTTGTTTAAAGCAAAATACGTTAATTTACATAAAATTGACCACAAAATACAAACTCCATCAGAGTACTCGTAATTAACGACTTATTACATGCCAACACTCTATACACACCAAAATACATACTTTGTCGATTACTTCTGATCTGATCTTCTAGTAATAATATTGTCCTTGCCACTTCTATTCTTGCTCTTCTCGTTTCTTGGTACCTACGTGTAAATCACTTACACGCTAAGTCATAGACTTAGTGAGATAATAAACAAACATTTAACAACAAATTCATGAATATGCATTCTTATCATTTTATCATGACATTTCAACATGCATGTATCTATTACACGATAACATATATAAGCATGTCATGCATGTGTAAAACTTACCTTCTTGTGCCACTTTCACTTTAATTTATCTTTTAATTGTATTGCCCATGTATATTATGAGAATAGAGGTATGCGAGTACTGAGGTTGTGCACACATATGCTGTCACCACAGCTCGTATATCCCGAAGGATTCATCTGTGTCCCGAAGGACCTGTCATCCCGAAGGATGTAATCTGTGTCCCGAAGGACCTGTCATCCTGAAGGATGTAATCTGTGTCCCGTTGGACCTATCATATGTCTTAGGACATATGTAACCCTCGACTCTTGGGATGCCAACTATACTATAACTCTCGTATCATATACTATGGCATTATTATGAATAGTTCTCATCACTTGTTCTTTCTCTTCTATCACATACCACATGTATGTGTAACCATGTATTTCATATCATCCATGTATCAGTATGACATATTCATAGTCATTTCATATCATATCCATGTATCACGTATACATATTCATATGTCATTTCATATCATATCACATGTATCACGTATACATATTCATATGTCATTTCATATCATATCACATGTACACGTATTGCATATTCATATTAATTTCATATAGTCACATAGCTTATCTCATTTCACATTGGTCATGTCTCATAACATATCACATATGCATATTATGTAACATATATAATAACTTTACTCATTCATGTATTCATGCACATATAAGAATCACCAATCAAATAACATTTAGGAGTCACTTCTACCATAGTAACTCCATCACTGACTCATCGCAAGCCAATGTTCGTTCAATAATATAAGTACAATTAAAATTTCACTCACCTAGCCTTGCTTTGATTCGATTATAATCCTTGATTATATCTACATAAATATATCATTTCAAAACAATTATCAGAAGCCTAAACTTTAAAACTTGATGTTAATAACTTAAACCGGTTTAATGAATCAAATTCCATTTTTTTCATTTAGGGGGAATCGATACACCTAGGGGGAATCTGTTCCAGGGGAATCGATACCCCCAGGGGCATGCACATATAAGAATCACCAATCAAATAACATTTAGGAGTCACTTCTTACCATAGACCCCATCACTGACTCATCGCAAGCCAATGTTCGTTCAATAATATAAGTACAATTAAAATTTCACTCACCTTACCTTGCTTTGATTCGATAATCCTTGATTTATCTACATAAATAATCATTTCAAAACAATTATCAGAAGCCTAAACTTTAAACTTGATGTTAATAAAAAACCGGTTTAATGAATCAATTCCATTTTTTTCATTAGGGGGGAATCGATACACCCTAGGGGGAATCTGTTCCGGGGAATCGATACCCCCAGGGGGAATCTGTTCTCCCTGCATACTGGAATTTTTGTCCAAGAGGGGGAATCGATTCCCTTCATAGGGTATCGGTTCCCTCTACCCAGAAAATTGTATTTTAACCCCGAAAATCATCATTCTTCACTTAATTCTTCTATTTTAAACCCCTATCATGTCATTAAACTCAACTACCATTACTTAAACCAACTTATATCCATGAAAATCCTAACTTCAAAATCCTATCCTTCATATGTAATTCAAAATCATACTCAAATTCAATATGTTCTAAATACCATTCTAACACTTCATATTCCTTATTAGCATGATGACAAGTCAATTTAACTTCAATTCAACTTATCACTCTTTTCCATGATTTCATATAAAACTTGTTTTCTTAAATCTCTTATAACTTCTTCATCTTTTGATTATAAGATAACTTAAGCTTTCCTTAAACTTAGTTATCATCTAATGATCCAAACCTAACCTTTAATTTAACAAATAATCAACAAATCAGAAAACCATTACCTTATGCTCTGCACGTTGGAGAAGAAGGAGGTAAGAAGAAGAAGAGTTTCTAATACTCTCCCCCAACGTTTATCTCTTCATAAAGAGAAAAAATCTTTCATGATAAATGATCATTTTGCCCCTTAATTCCTTGTATAATTACTAATAACTTTCAGGAAATATTTTTAAACAAATCATTAAATTATTCAAATATCCTACTTCAATCACCAAACTCTGAAGTTTTATACGTTAATCACTAACCCGTATTTTGGGATGTTACAAATCTCTCACCCTTAAGAAAATTCGTCCTCGAATTTTCACTGTACAAATAGATGGGAACTGTCTACTTATATCATTTTTGTACTTCCATATTATACTAGATCCACCTCTTTAAAGATCCATAAGGTCCAATGAATGTAGGACTGAGCTATACTATAAAAGAATCTTATTCGGAACAAGACATTAATAATACTTTATCACTTATCTAGAAATTCCATTTTTAACTATATATATAGAACTCTGTTAACTATCCTATCTTAATTTTTTTCCACTTTTCTTCAACTTCTTTGATCCAATCCGTCCATACAAAATCTCAATATTTCTATTCAA